GCCCCCACTGCGGCCTACCTTCTGCAGGTAGAGAATCATCCCCTTCAGGATGGCGTGGAAGGGCTTCCAGCCGCGCTTCCCTCGGGGTGCTGCCAGGGAGGAGAGAGCAGCCCAGACATCAGCCCCAGCACCGAGCTGGAGAAAGGCATTTCCCCCCGCATCCTCCTCCAGCCAGCCCTGCCACGACGCACGTCACCCCACCCCGGGGACGGGCAGCACGCCAGGACTGTCCCCCCCCCCCCCCCCCCTGCCACGACGCACGTCACCCCACCCCGGGGACGGGCAGCACGCCAGGACTGTCCCTGTGCACCTGAGCCTGTGCCGGCCGCGTGGCTGGCAGATGGTGCTGCGGGCAGGGGGGCCGCCTGCTGCCTCCCGGGGCCAGCACCACTGCGCGCCCTGCCTCGCCGCTCGCGCTCGGCTTCACCACTGCCTCCCCGCTCGGGGACGGGGATGAGGCGGTGCTGCCCGCCAGGTAATGCTGGCTGCATCTAATCAGATCAAGGCAACATTAGACAGCCATGGCTTAGAGGGGATTTTACGGTGGAAATGGTGAACGTGCCTGGCAGCGCCCAACCAGCAGCAGCCCGCTGTGCTGCTTGTTTGCTGTGCCACAGGACATCTTGCTTTGTCCCCGCCACCCTGCAGCAAAGGCCGATCCCCCGGGGAGCCCACCCCACCTCCCCCCTTCCCAGGGCCATGGGAGCCTCTGCCCAGTCCTGATGGCGGAGGCGGACAGGCAGGGAGAGGCTTTCAGGCTTCCCAGCCTGGGGGCTGAACTATGCCCGGCACAGCTGGACAGAGAGGGTGCAGGGGGCTGATGGTGGAAGCTGGCTTGATGCTACAGTCAGATGTCACATAGTGCTTCCCGCCCCACTCCCCATTAGTGTTTCTGGAGCTCGCCAGTGCCTCCTTGCCCTGAGCCCCTCCCGCGGGCTCCCCAGGCACCTACTTTTCTTGCAGTCAGGATCAGCGTGGATCTTGCGCACTAACAGTCCATGTTTGTAGGTGGCAATGCTGGAGTCTTGGGAGAAGTCCAGAAAGGGGTTACTGCAGCTACTGATGCGCTTGATGGACTTAGGGTTGGGGTCTGCCAGCTCTGAGAGGGACTTTCTCAGCTCCTCCTCATCTCTGCCAGGCACAGATTGCGTGGGGAAAGGGTTTGTTACCTTGCTGGGGAAAGCAAATACCAGGTCTCCCACTTGCCGGTGCCACTTTTAGGCCTGGCTTCTAAGAGGGAGGCCAGGAGAGGCAGAACAGGCTGAGCAGTCTCCCATCACCACTGGAGAGCATCCCAAACCCAGTCATGCCTCTGTGCCTGTGCCCCTGCCCCTCTAGGCTGGCAGCTGAGGTGCTGCCTGGCACTTCGAAAGACAAGGCATGGGGGTGTCTGCTGCTGGCTCAGGGTGAGGGCTCCTGCCTGCCCCAGGGAGCAAGGAGCATTTTTGGACAGGACTAGGACTGATCCTGGCCAAGCCAACGAGCTGGGGGGCCGTGGAGGAGCAGTGCCCTGGGACTTGGCACCACCACAGCCCCCCGGCCCATGGTGTACAGGCTCGCAGGCAGGAGCTGGCAGGACAGAGGCTCTAGAGGGAAACCGCCTCAAAGAGAGACTCAGGCTGTGGTCCCCACTCCTTCAGGGCAGCAGCTGGGCTACGGGGCTCAGAGCCACCAGCAAAGGGGTGCGGGGAGACTGCGGTGGGGAGGCCTCGGGCAGCACCGGGGCTCCAGGTCATGGCCCCTTGCACTGCAGGCAGGCTGCTGCGGGCAGGCTGCACTGGTGCCGCTCCCCCCGCCCAGCAGGAAGATGTGGGAGCCCAGAGCTGCTGCCTCCCCCCTCCCTCAGACCCGCTTGCTGCTAATTAAACCCCTCAGCATCTGCCGGCGTCTCCATGGCAGCAGCCCGAGCGCATTGGCTCAGCGCTGGCAGTACCGTCGGGCTGATTAATCCCCGCAGCGCGGGCGCTGCCGCTCTTGCTGCTGGAGATGGCAGCTGTGGGCGAGGGTGCGGGCACCCTGCGGGGCCCCGGCACAGCCACAGCCCCCCCAGGGCCTGCCTGCTCCCACCCCGGGCACAGCCGCCAAGGCACAGAGCAATGCCAAAGCTGCGGGGAGCTGGCCTCAGGCAGCCTTTCCCCAGCATGCCAGGGAATGGGTCCCCATCGAGGTGCTGAGGGCGGCCAGGGGTACGCTGCCAGCACAGCTCTCCAGGCACCCTCATCCCATCTCAACCCGTCCCATCCCACATCCTCACATCCCTGCAGCATCGTAGATGATGGGGCCTCTAGGGCAGGGCAATGCTCCGGCGGGGAGGGCAGCAGGGGCAAGGAAACCCCCCATGCCGGCAGGGTGACCCCGCTGCCCACCCAGCACCAGCATCCCCCAGGAGCGATACTCACATGGCCCACTGCAGCTTCTCGTTCTTGATGGAGCCGTACAATGTCTGCAGAGAGAAGAGTGGCGGATCAGCAGGAGAGTGGTGCCAGGTCAGGGGAGCTGCTCCGGGGATGGAGGGGGCATGCCAGACCAGCTCAGGGGCACTGGAGGTTAAGGCAGCCCCAGGCCAGTTCATCCTGGTCCAGCCCCACCCTGGCCTGGCCAGCTGACTGGCCTTGTTTCAGGGCTACAGGTACCTTCTCCTGGGCACCACAGGACCTGCAAACCCACGCACACCCTGGGCACGGCGCTGGGTCACGGCCCTGGCTGTCTCCCCTCTCCTCCCCTCCCTCTCTGCCTGCCCGTGACAGTGGCACAGCATTAGCAGCATGACAGCGAGGCGTGCCAAACATTTCCAATCCCTTGGGAGACCCACTTCTCCCCGCTCCAGGCTATCCCAAGCTGGCCAAAGGGACGGCCTTCAGGAGGCCAAGGCCCCAGGAGAGCAAGCTTTCAGGCTGGATTTCGAAGGTGTGTGCATGCCTGCACCCTGCTCAGCATGACCAGCCTGCCCTACCACCTCCAGCAGCTCCACGCCACGACACACCACAGCCAGTGACGTCCCTGCTGTCAGCCGCCTGTCCTGGGCTGGCTGAGGCAGGCTTGTGGCAGCACCCAGTGCTCCACAGCAATGCAATGCTCCCATTGTAGGCTGCTCAGGAGCACGCTTAAGCTTTGGGAGAGACTTCAGCAGGGTGCTGGCCCTGGGCTTGCAGAGACACCAGCACACCACTGTTCATGAAGACCTCAAAGGACCTCGTGGCTGGTCAAGGGAGGATGGGTGTTTGCCTGCTGCTGGGCTGCTGCTGCTTAGGGTGGCTGTGATCAGTCCCTACCCCCTCCCCAGCACCCCCCAAGCACACTGCCCTCCCTGCTGGCCCAAACACTGCCAAGCTGAGCAAGGCAGGACCTGCTGCCTGCATCTCAGCACAGGAACAAGCTAAGCCTGCCTGCAGCAGGATGCTCCAAGAGCCCCGCTCCCAAGCATTTGTCCGGTCCGGGCTGGGTGCAAGCCAGAAGCACTCGGCACAGCTCTGCAGCCAGGGAGGCTCCGGAGAGGGTTTCAACACAGTGCTTGCAGAGGGTTTCGGAGCAAGATCTGGAAGGCATCATCCTCAGAGGAAAATAATCGAGTCTCGCACAGGCTGTTCAGGCAGCTATCAACATCCATCACTTGGCCCAAGACTGTTGCTGAGAGATCTTGCTGGTGGCTGAGAAAGTACAACTGGAGGCGTGCAGGGGCCCGGGAAAGCCGGCCAGCAGACAGGCCCAGCGGTGTCTGGGAAAGGGACATCCATCACTCCCCCGAGAGGCGCAGCGGCCAGGATGGAGCGGGGACCCAGCTCCTCCCGCACTTCCCTGTCGGGGAAATGCTGGTGCAGCATCAGCTTGTTTCTCAGAGACTGAAAAGGATTGCCCCGATCTGCAGGCAGCAAGCGGGGACCACTTGTCTCCTGGGAAGACAGGAGGCTCACGGAGGGGGTACGGCCCCAGTGCCCGAGAGGAGGTTAGACCCTGGCCCCATTTGTGCAGCCCTGGCGCCGGAGGGGCAGGATGCTGAGGTGTGAGTAGGGGGTACCTGCCGGAGGGCTGGCAGCAATGCGGCCAGAGGAGCACGGGTAGCAAAGAGACCTAGAGAAGAGCCTGGAAGAAAAAAACAAGCCAAAGTCCTGCAGAACATAACCTGGGAGTAGAGCAGGGGAAGAAGCAGGTATCTCAGAGCAATGTGGATGATAAGGAATCGCCACGGGAAACAGAAGGGAAGGGATCTTACTCACTGCCAGGGACGCAGCTGAGAGATGCTGAGAACCAACAGACACAAAAAAGGAGACTAGAAAACTGGCACAGAGAAGTGGGGACTGGAAACTGCAGAAAAGCTCCTTGGAAAGAGCAGGCAGGACGGGATGTGTGGCTTGGCTTCCACCCGGCTCAGTGACCATACAGGAGGGGCCAGCTCTGCACCCCAAGGAAAGCAGACGTGAGCCAGCTGAGCTGGGATTTTGGAGGACAGGGCAAGATGCTGCACTGAAGGGGACGGTGGCCCCCAGGCCCCCAGCCCTGCGCAGGGCTTGCAGGTGGATTGCTGCTAAACTGAACGAGCTGATGTCAGAAGACGCTTGAGGAGCAATTCTGGATGGCACAGTGCCGGAGAACAGCCCGGCAGAGCACCGCACTACAAAAACCTGGGCTCTGGGACTGTCGGCGCACACTTCAAAGGCTGAACTGCCTTGTGGCTTCAAAAGGCTCAAGCAGCCCTGCTACAAGCCCCGACAGCATCCCACAAGCCCGCTGTGGGCAGGAACTGCCAAGTACCCCCACCTCAGAGATGGGGAGCAGGGACTGCTCAGCACTCCTGTGCAGGGGGACAGTGAGAGGCAAACGGCGGGGCTGGGTGGATTGAGAGAGCAATGCAAAGCTTTACGTCTACACTTAAATCCTGCCAAGACTCTGCTTGGCTAAACACCACCCCCAGCTGACACCAGTCTCAGGAACAAAGCTGGTGGACTCAGTCCAAGTCCTAGCTGAGAATATGCACTCCAGCCACAGAGCCCATCCCGCTTTTCTGGTCCTGTGGCAGTACCACTGCCTGTCAGTCCACTAAACTCGGGGTTCTTTGGTGCACAGACCGTTTCTGCTGGGGAAGCACAAGTGGTGCAGGCTCCTGAAGCCTAATTCACAACCACGTCAGCAGAGACCAGACACCAGTTTCATCGCTCAGCAGGTCCCTCTCGCCAGGCTGTCTTTGCTCCGTGGATTCACTCCCCCTGGGCCAAAAGCAGGGCACCTCTTGGCAGCGCTGAACTTGTAAGCACGGCTCAGGACAAAGCAGGGCACTGGCCCCATGCCACTGCAGCCGACCCCAAGCGTGGTTGGGGTTTTTTTGTCATCGCCAGGTTATGAGCTCACTGCTGCAGCACGAAGGGCCAGCCAGCTCTGCCCTAGACATGCACAACGCTGAAGAGACCTAGGAATATACTGTCCCAGGGGGATTTCTAACTGAACCAACATCTTTCTTTGGTGCTCGCCCTCCCTCCCAAAAGCAGGCTGAGAGGATGTCCCGAGTCCTGCTCTAGCAAACGTCTCCAGGAGGGGTGGGGGGCTGCGCTGGGCACGAGGCAGGTGGCTCTGATGCTCCAGCCTGGCCTTGGTGCCAGCCCTGTGCAAGCACGGCAGGGAGAAGCCATTCCCCCTTCAAATCCCCAGCTCAGAGCAGACCAGAGGGGAGATCCAGTGCTCTTTGGGGAGCTGGGCAACAAGCTGGCCTGGACACAGCTTTGGCACAGACTGGGCTGTAACCCAGCACTCAAGTAACAACGGAGGGTTAAGGCAGGAATTTAGGCATCTGGCAGAGGGTTTTAACCCTTTCTGGGGTGCCTCTTTTGTGGATCATAACTCTTAAGGACACATTCCCTTTCCAGTCTGCTGGTTCCTGTGCTAAGCAACACAGTGCTCAGCCCTCAGTGCTGCAAGATGCCCTGTGCAAGTCAAGGCCCCCCTTCCTCCTGCCAGCCCTGTGACCAGCCACGGCTGCATGACGTTCTGCAAGACATACTTCACAGACACCAAGCACCCTCCCTGCAGTCATTCTTCCTCTCTCCGTGCCTGGCAGCATTTCAACACAAGAGCTCAGTTGCTGGCTTTCTCCAACTTTTCCTTAGCAAAATATCTTTCTCTACACCCAGCCACAAAGCTCTGTCAGGTCCCCCAGGCACCCAGACCCCACAGCTGCATGGATACAAACAGCACCATCAGATCAGGGACGTATATCAGTGGGAACTGTACCTATGTCAGGTCCCTTATTCACCTTCACAGCCCCCCCTCTCCACCCCTGCTGCCTGCCCAGCACACACAACCCTTGCTCAAGAACAACTCATCACCTGGCACACACCAACCCTGCTGCACACACCCCGTGTCCCCCCCCTCCCCTCCACTGCAGAGGGGCTCCCACAGGCACACAGAGCAGAGTGACTTGGGGACAGACCCATTGGGTGGGCTGCCATGGGGACAGTGTCCTGTGCGTCACCTTCCGCCCTGCTGCAGGCAGCAACAGCAGGCAGTAGGGGACGGCTACCCATTCCTACCCCACACTTTCGACTCAGCAACATCATAAGCTGCACCAACATCATAAGCTGCACCAACATCTTTTAAAACATTCCTTGCCCAGCCAACTACCACCCCCAGGACGGCAGACCCCTCTATCCCTCCCAGCGCAGCCCCACAGCACGGGAAGCAGCGACCGAGCGTCTCCCTTCCAACTGCATGTTTCCATCCGAGTGCGTCACAACTTAATGCTGCCCCCAGACCGTACTGCGCTATGACAGCATTGCTGCTTGTCACAGCCCTGATGTCCCCACTGGGCTGGTTTTGGCCACGGGGGCAGCCCCGGTGGCTCTGGGGTACCCCTGCCTCTTTGCCCCAGCCTGCCTGCAACGCGGGGGCCAGTGAGGACTCTTCTCTCGCTGCTACACCAGAGGCAGGCTCCCAACCGAGGTAGGATGCACTCAGAGACAGCCTGTTCGCTTCTCCCCACCTAGGACTGATGCACACCAGCGTAACACCTCCAAAACAGATGCCGGCTGACAGCGAGTGAGCTCTTGGCAGTAAAAAGCCCTTTTTTGTCCAGACAGCCACTCCTTCCTCTCCAGCTCTGCTCGGCTGGGAGCCGGGGCTGCGGCGCTGCCTTGCGGCTCTCCCCACCGCCCCAGCCGGGTGCCAGTCTGCCCTGGCCGGGCTGGCACGGCTCAGCGCAGCCCTTGGCGGGGAGCCCGCAGAGCTTGTCACTTATGCTAAGCTGGAGGGCTGGTCCCAGCGGTACGGCTCTGTCCTGGATTCTTCTCGCAGCGATGTTTTCGAGCAAGCGTTGCCGTCAAGCCATCGTAAGCGGCGCAATGTCACCCAGGTCTTGCCGTGCTCCCGCTCCCCCCGTGCCCGGGGTGGGATGGGCGGAGGGCGGCAGGGCTGGAGACGGGGACCCTCGGGCGGAGGGGGGCTGATGGGGACCCGCCT